CAGTTCAAACCAATTCAAATGGATATCCCTAAGGAACATCTCTATAATGCCTCAGTGCTTCCGGTCCTTCCTTTCTCGAAAACACTGCGAAGGCTGCCGGAAGCGTGGTTGTTCCTTTCGCGAGTTGGTGTCTGGCGCACAGCGCGAACGTCTCATGGTGAGTTTGTTTTCTGTATTCTTTGTGTGCACTTAACAGCTTGAAAGTAACCACAGCAAAGGTAATTACTTACTCTGGGAGGTGGCAAAATCTGTGTGCCATTGCCCATTTTTGGGATATAGGTTGCGATTGCCATCTGTTTGCCAGTGTTAGCAAAATCTGCTTAAATACCAATTCGTGTGCTTTGAGGATATGGCTCAGAAATTAAGCGTTTCTGCCGTTTCTCTAATATTTGTCTTACTCTCCCTTTCAGAGCAATAAGCCGTAGAGACGATGCTCTCAATGTTGGACACCGAAGTGAGGCAACTCATCGGGCACAACGCCAAAATGTCCCTGTTGTGTCCTGGCCCTGGGTCACGCGTGTCGCGCCTTGACAGCCGTGACCTTGAACGACCTTGACCGGCCGGGCCGGGCCGAGCGGCCGAGGGTCAGTATCGTCCGAGCGGCGCTGGTGTCAACACAGCTGAGTGCCGCGAGGTGAGGTGAGGCGTGTTCGCCGAGACGGTCCGGCCACAGTGAAATAGTGAAATAGTGGTGTAATCGATAATATGCGTGGCCAGTACGCGAGTGAGATTGACCCTGTGCGCGACACCGATTCAGAGACGCACATAAGTTAACACCGTCGTGTCGGATCGCTCGTACCGGTGATGGGAGACAACGAGCAGCTGGAGCGTCTGATGGCGCTCATGGTTCAGCAGTCAGCAGGCTGCCATGCTGGAGTAGCTCCTCCCCAGCCAGATGCAGCTACCAGCTGCGCAAACTGTCTAGAGCGGCCAACCGGCTGTCGTCGCCTCCACCGCTCTTATGGCTAGACTTCGGTCTCACATGGACTCCCGTCGGTAGTGTTCACATGCCAGCCCATACATTTTACCTGTATTAACTTTTTAATGTCTGTGCCTGTGTAACTATTGTACGTGCCGTGTTTGAATTGTACATCGTTCGCACAGTCTGTGGACCGTGGGGAGCGCCGCTTGACATGCATTTTTGCACTTACCTGCATTCCGTGTTAAAAGTAAAGTAAAGGGACTGAGCTGTCGTGCACCGGGAGATATTATGGTCTCTTGCTAAACGACACAGTTGAAACTCAGCACGCTGGTCGGTACTGACTGGGGCGGCAAGCGAAAGGGTTTGGGCAGCTTTTGAAACAAAATGTTCGCATCGAATGACTGCATCGCATGTTCTGTTCCAGAGTGAGTTTTTTTGACATATGACACAATAAATATACATGCCTGTTCTTTACCTTGTTTGTGCATGGAGGGAATGGGAAGGATCGAGAACGCGGATGCTGTGCCATGAAAAGCTGGCGCTCTACAGGGAGGGGGGAGGGGGAATGGGTCGTGAGCGCGAATGCCGTGCCAGGAAAGCCGGCGCTTAAGTTGTAAAGTTCTCGGAGACCATACAGGATCATATTATGAGCGGGAATTGTGTTCGTTTATGATCTCATGACCTGGTAAAGGTTCTCATGGGAGATCATCCCGCAGTATAAGAGTACCTTATCCGGGCAAAGTTCTCGTTCAAGATAGCACACCATTCTCACTCGAGAACGTTACGGGAAAAACCTGAGAACTTTACCAAACTGGAGACCAACAACTGTAAACAAAGTTCTCCCCAATTGAGGCTCTCATACAAGACCAGAACGACCCCTGCATGGTCTCCGAGAACCATGGATAGGCTTGAGTGTTTCTCAGTGTAAGGGCTACCGACTAGTGGCTAGTAAGCTGCTAAACGCTAACGGCTGTCGTTATTTATCGCAATGCTGAAGACATCCTAGTCCGAACCCTTCTCCCTCCCCAGTGCGCGCCGGAACGGCTAGAGAGGGCGGCCATTAGATCCTGCGTAGCGATCCCCGGGGGGTCATTAGGGTGTGCAGTAGTCGCTCCCGTGGTGGTCCGCCCCCAGCAGGAGGGGGGGGGGGGGTGAGTCACCCAACTGACCCACCCACGGGGAGGGGCCTCCGGCGGTCCCGCAGACACGCCGTAAAACCCGCGGCACTTTCAGCCGCGTCTCCGCTGCGGTCGGCGCGGCGGACAGCTTCATCAGGCCCGCAGCGCCCGGGGAGCGGCAGGCACGTCCGCTCACGCCGCCTTATCTGATGGTGCCGAGCGGCATTATGAGGTGTTCCTGTCGGTAAATACGTGTTCATATGACCATTCACCGTCCATACGCGCAGCTGGGGACATCCGAAATCAGAGCCGTTTCAATAGCGCTCCACCTTGTTTTCTGCGATGTCACTTGTCCGATTTTATATCTGATTAATTCACGTCACTTAAGTATTTATTTTATATTGTCATAATAACTTAAGGCGCTGTTCCTTTATTTTCTGTTTAGTTGCAGCCCTAGTACCTTAATTTCCGATGTCTCTTCGGTTTGTTGTCGCTCGCATGTTCAGAGAGTGCGGCGGTTGTGGAATACAAGCTCGTCTGTGAAGGTTGCGTGTCGGAGCCGGGTTGGCGAGGCGGGACCCGTCTACATTTCAAACACCATTGCATTTCTCTCATCAAGACGCGTCGAATGATGAATAATGTGACCTAAAACATAGGCGCGGGAACCGGGGAGGGGGCAGTAGGGGCAGCTTGCCCCCCCCCCCCAACTCTGGGGCCGTGGGGCCGTGTATCTTATGGTCAGGGCGCGTGTTTGAATTTATTTTCGGGGGTTGGGTCACTTAACTTGACCTGGTGACCTGACCTTTGATGACCTGGAGCTAAAATTTTCAAAGCCTGTACGGAAAAGACGTATAATAAGCTGTACCAAACCGTTTTTGAGATGTCAGCGAAAACCTGGGGGGGGGGGGGGCGTGAAAACGCCGAGCGGGTTAATGAACCAGTAAGACGCCTTTCGGGGCGATACGCGAGCGAGCAAAAGGATGAGCCCTGCAAGTGCGAAACTGAGTGGGGGTATTTCCAACTGACTTTTGCACGGCACCCTGCCAACCGGTCGCTATCGGTGTATCAAATCTGAGCACAATCGGTCCAGCCGTTCCTGAGATCTGGAAGCGGCACCCTCCACGTGCGCACGTGTAGTACACTTCAACGTTGGTCGTTGACGCATTGAAATACATTGCCAAGTTGCTCATACTCAGAATTTTCCGCCATTCTACGAAAGCTTGCTTCGCTCGCTCCGCTGGCTCGCTTGTAATAAAGCACGTAAAAAATATGTCAACTTAAAGTGCAATTTAAAAACAAAAATGTACGTCCACCTATGCACTACATTTCAAAGCAAAAAAAAAAATGTCCACTTATACCGTTATCTCAAGACAAAAAATATGTCCACCTAAAAGTACAGTCCACCGAAACGCTTTTTTGCACCCAAATTCGACCAGCTACCACATCAAAACTAACCGCCATAGGACAGCGGCCAGTTGATATTTTCTTGCTACCTACCTGACGTGTGCTGCCATCTAAAAGTCATCCTCCCAGCATGCGTAGTTTTCAAGTCCACCGAAAGACGAAATACGCTAAAGTCCACCCATCCCGGAATTTGGAATATGTGTGTTTTCGCCGTCCGCGTAGTCCCCTTTTTCATCCGTTTGCCCCCGACTCCGAATGAGAACGTCTTTCATATCGCTTCATGTTGTTACTTGTTGACAGCACAGCCTTTTCTAGCATTCCCTTCAACGAGTTTTGCCGATGTAACAAATTATGTATGACGTTGAAGTCCTATTAGAAGAATCACGGTGGGTTATATTTACATACTATAAGGAACTTTTTAGAAGTTGACGCGTGAGCGGCGCAACCTTTCATATTTTTTTTTGTGCAGATCGTTATTTTCATGTTTTGATATGTCTGTAATCAGCTGCAGCATGTCTGTAATCTGTGTTTCTTTCCATAAAAAATAGTGAGCGCCCCATATTTAACGAATTTGTTTGCTTGCTTGCTTATGCTTTACGTTCTTCAGTTCGGTTCGGTGAGAGCGTTGAATTGTCGGATGAGACCTGCGACGAACTCTGCAGTTTGTCCGGCAAAATGACGAGTTAAAGGGACCCTCCCACCTTAACATTAGTTTTGAGTTGAGATAGCCAAATTGGTGGCCATGGCCTGAAAATCCCGGTTTGGGCACTCACAACATCGAAAAATGCTTTAATTCGGAGATATGGAATTTCAAACTTGCAGTGTTCGGATTCTAAGGGGCTAATGCATTGGTATGCCCCCTTAGAATTTGTGACGTCAGCGGAGATCTAACGATTTTTAAATCTTTTACTAAAACGTTTGGTAGCACGCGGTGGTATATGCTGCTTTGCGCGCAACAAATGCCGCACTTTCAAATAAAGTCGCTAGGAACAGCGGAGATCCCAAAAAGTAAACAAAAGTAAAAGTCTAATATCTTGAAAACCGGTGAATATTTTTCGATGAAATTTGGTAGATATTCGTTTTCGCTCTTTCTGAACCGAGCGACATCACTTTCATGCCAATTCATTAACTTTTTTGAAGGTGGGAGGGTCCCTTTAAACAAGATATCCTAATGAGGTCCTAATGAGGTATGAAGGATGAGAGGATAATATGGTTTGACTTTGAATCAACAGACGGTGATATGGTGATTATTTTAGCTCATTTCTCAGGCTCCCATTATAAATAGGTATCAAGGTCTGGCCTTGTGCATTACAAATGACCTCACTGACGTTCCTTTGCCAAATGCCGAGCGCGAATTTGTAAAATCGCGAACGGATGGTCCCTGGATCCTGCCCGCCTTACATCACCAGCAGCATGATCAGATCAGTTTCCCCTTCATCCGCAGATCTCCCCCATAGAAAGGGCTCGCCGCTGCCCGTGCCGTGCTGCCCCCTAGTCCATCCCCGGTACCGAGGGAGGGAGAGCCCGGGCCTCCCCGAGAGCCCGCCTCCCCGCTCGATCCCCGGGGCGGTCCGTCCGCGTCCATCCTCCATCCGACCACCGACGGCTCGCCCCGGCGCGACGGCCGGCAGTGACGACTTCGCCTCGGTCGGGGGAGGGTGTACCGCGCCCCGCTCTGGGCCTACTCCACATATCATCATCATATCATAGAGACTATGTGACGTGAAGGGACTCGTTGCAGGACTAGATTGATAGAGTGGTGTGTGAGACAATCATGGGACGTGTGTGTTGCGCGGTGCTGCTGGCAGCGGTGGTCGGGATGCAGGTGCTTGCTGAAAATGTCGAAGGTGAGTCGGGTCGGTGCGGTGCTTGGTTGAACTTCAGAGTGGATTGGTTTTACAAAACGTCGAAGCAGATTATTCCTGTTATTCGTGGCTTGTGTCGATAAGTCGTCACCACAGAGTTGACAGTAGAACGGTGCTGCAGATATGAGCTATCCAAAACATAGGTAAGCTAAGACCGTTTGATTCCGCCTTTCAATTTAAATTCTTGAACTTCATCTAAGATTTTATCAATACTTTTTCGCCTAAGTCAAATTGTTTTGCTTAATGGTGTTATTTTGTACGTAATTTATTTTTATTACAGTGATAAATATCTATATTTTATATGTCTAGTAAATGAGAAACGTATAAATTTCACGGTCGTCCCGCGCCATGCACATCTGGATCTTAAAGGGACCATCCCACCTTAACATTAGTTTTGAGTTGAGATAGCCAAGTTTGCGGCCAGGCTCAGAAACCACCATTTATCCTGGTCGCAACCCCCGCAGCTTTATGGTGTTCAAGAAATTTCTTCCCTTTACTTGCAGGGTGGGACCAGCTTAGTCCCTATCTCTTAACCATTAGCGGTTTGTTGATGACGTCAGCAGTCATTTCAACGCCCGCCATTCCTTGAACCCGAGTTTTGCTGACCTTGAGCTCCCTTTTTTATCAACGTGAAATCCGTCGTCGGCGCTGAGAAAGCCTATTGCTTTTCATTTTAATTTGAATATTAGAAGATACCCACCACTGGAACTTGGACTGATATTATACCAAGGCCGAAGATGATCAAGCTGCCTGCTATATCTGGAGCTTGGTGTTCAACTTCAACATGGAATGAAAAACAAAATATCAAAGCAAACTGGATATGGTACTGCAAGTTTAAGTCCAAAGAAATTTGAAGAGCTGACAATTGACATTAATTCTTTTCCCGCAAGGTTTCCATCACTGTAAAAAATATTGACGAGCTATGTGTCAAAACAAGGGTCTCGAAACAGTCACCAGGTTGTCAATGCTTCCGGTACCTACCACTTGACTAGTTACCGCTTAGTTAGCTTACAGGCTGAGAACTATCCAGATCGTTATGATCCGGTATTGTAATGATACCCTATATGTAAAAAATATTCACTAGCTAATTTTGAAATTAGGCATTTTTTACGAGTGCCTCCCTTGCTCCTCGTTACAACATATATGGACATTAGTAGTCAGAGCCATGCACATTAACAATGCCGCTTGTGGAACAAATGCCTACGAGCGAGAACATGTTCAGGAACCTAATTTTGCGCAGTGTTAATGAACTACGCACAGCCTCACAGTGTTACCCGCCGTTGGCTTGTTCTCGGCCAGTTTTTAGCGTGTCCCTCAATTAGGTCATTTCGCTATTAGCTCAGCTGACGAGGCCCCGGCTGGCACCTACTAAACGGATAACCTTGCGTGCAACCCCGCTTGTTGTCACGAACGCCTGCAGCTGGTAAACGTGCTGGCAAGCTTGCGTGGTAAGCGGCTTCGGATGGCTATGAGGATGTGCCTCATAGCTATCCTCGTCGCATGTTACAACCTAGGAGTCTGTGGCTGCTTTCAGAAGGAGCCCCCCCCCCCCGCTTCCGGGAGCCGGCGTCCATTTTGTGTTGCGTCGCCATTGCTGTGTGTGTCTGCCCAACTGCTCTTTGGCTTGATTGAAGGTGAGGCATCTTGTATCATTTGCTGTGTGCTCAACAAAAAGGTTGTCCATTTGTAAACAAAAGTTATTATGTTGTTGAGCTTCTTAGAAGATGTATAGTATCGCATAATGTTGCCCGTCGTTGGCAGAAGTGCGCCGGTATCGTCTATCCAAGTCAGAATAGCTATATGTTTGGGACTTAAGCTAGCTTGTGGCAGGAATCTATCACTTTATTCAACTTAAATTTAATCATTTTCCAGATTGGTATGTCTTATGATAATAATAATGTTAATATTCGTTTTTTCACCCATTACAGACTTCTCTGGTGAAGAATGGGGCCATGTATGTCCTGGCCTACCTGCACCCCGCGACTGCCGCCGGTGCAGAGCTAATGAAAAAATCACAAATGTTTGATGGTGGTTATTTAAGAAACCTTGTTGAAAATTATTCAGTTAGTTGTTGTTGTTGTTGTTGTTGTTGTTGTTGTTGTTGTTGTTGTTGTTGTTGTTGTTGTTGTTGTTGTTGTTGTTGTTAAAGTTATAGTTATTGTCCTGGCGTTGTTATTGTTCTCGTTCTCGTTCTCGTGCCCGAATAAATGTGCTGCAGCGCTACTCAGTCTGTTTACTTGCGGGTGGCAGTCGAGAGTCGGGGGCACTGGTCGACGGAATTCCGTCGACGGAATTCCGTCGACCGTGCCTCGACCCCGAAGACCAGTAGTGGTACTAGTCAACTAGTGCCACTACTGGTCTTCAAGGTCGAGGCACGGTCGACGGAATTCCGTCGACGGAATGCTAGTACCATTACTAGCCTTGGGGGCTAGTACCATTACTGGGTATGGATTAGTAGGCAGTGGCTAGTTACCTTACCAGGCAGGGGCTGTTATGACACCTAGTAGACGCACTACCCACGCTATTTACGTGCGTGTTGTCAAACTAGGTGGAGCACGGTGGTCGTATGCATACGAGGCACAGCCTTGTCGAACAAGCTTGTTACTCGGCAACTAGCCTAAAGTTAGCCAAATTTACACGCTCCTGCAATGTTATTTTTGCGCTGAGAATTCCTCTACGAGGGGCTTGTAAGTTTTTTTTTACAGTGTAGGTGTACCTTTGTTTTGAAGTGCTGAATTAACTATCAAGGTTGTTTGACGTTTGTTTTCGCCTCAATCCGAAACGAGGAAGACCCTCATCAAATTATTAGGTGAAAGCCAGCCTCAGGATGATCAAAATACTAGGGGTAGTTTTGTCATAGTAATCTGTGAAGGTTGAAGAACAAGCCGTAGCAATGCACTCGTCACTAAACCAGCCTGAGATTATTCGCCAGGTAGCGGCTGCGTTTCCCTACTTGCTGAATCATGTAAGCAACTTTCCATTTCCAGACACTTTTTACGGCAAATAAATTGTTGGGTTATTTGGAAGGTGAACGACAATTTTATTTCTATAAGTCAATACATTTGTATTTCCGATTGCCCTAAAACTTTTTTTAATCGTTTGCGGTAGGTTTTTATTGTTCGCAATAAAGTTGCGCACCTGTGAATCCTTCACTTAATGCGTTCCCGGCTTCCCGGCGCCAGCTGTTGCGCTGTGCCGTGCCGCGTTCGGTCGGGGGTGCGCGAGTCTGTGCAGTGCGAGTGTTTATCACTGGGCAAACCTGTATCGTTTCCATTTGTGCAGTGTCTAGTTATGAAGAATTGCTTGCCGATATATGACCTGCAGTGATCGACGTTCTGATTCAATAACTTGCCATAAGCCATTATTCTCAACGAAATCGCGCAGAGACGTTTGCAAAGTTGTCGAGGGGGGGGGGGGGGGGGGCGAAACAAGAGCGATTTTAAATGAATTGCTCTCCATGCAGTGCAATAGGACTTAAGTTTAATTTTTCGAAGGTTGTGGAGCCGCCCCCGGTGTCCGGCCTGGCCAACTCTCTCAAGAACCGACAGCTAACGGAACACTGAAGTTTCACTACGACGATTTCCGCCAAAGTTATGAAGAAAGGGCAAGTGCAAGAAGTACAAAACTTCTCTTGGTAATCAAAACTTAGGTTTGGCAAATTCCAAACCCTAAGTCACTACAACTGTGGATATAAATAAGCTGGTTATTGACGGCCAAGCTCTGGCCAATCTGAGGTTCAGACCTATCATCAAGTTCATGAGGCAGCTGCGGTTGGGCGGCTCACGGGCTCCACTGCATAGGCTCAGACAGGTACTCTAGTCTCTACAAAATGTCGTCTGTGTTCTTAGGTTCAGATCTATCGATAGGTATGTGCATGCTTCTGATTCGATTGCTAACTGTAAACGGGCGCTGGAAGTGAAAGATTCGCTTGATATACGAAAGGTGCATTGCAAGAAAGCATATTATTTCAGAAATACACTTTCATTTTATCTTGAGCGTTTTTGGAATGGGCCGGATGAATTCGTCATCAAACTGGTAAGGGATTTCGTTTGAAGACCACCGATATTTAATAATATGATGGTCTTCAAACGAATTCGCTGGCAAATTCGATGACTGGATTGGGCGGCGTAGGATCTGCTGGTCATCTGACTATGGGTTGAGCAATACGTTAGTTTTGACCTAGTTTGAGCTTCATTCGTTAAGTAGGAACAAGACGATGCTTCTTTTGAGCATCGTCACTAAACAAGCCGCCCTCGTTTTGACATTGTTTTTCGTTATTATTGTTACTAGGTACTTTGTTATCATACACAGCATTAACGAGGACCTGCTTCCAAAACAAGGCAGAAACGCTCCAGCTATTTTTGGGACGTGGTAAAAACTAACCGACACCTGGTAACTGTCATCTGACGAACACAAAACAAGCCAGGGGCTCGCAGCGTGTGTCAAAAGTAGGATGCAAAACTAGTCTGTACCCCCGACATTTAGCGTTGAGAATCATTTGACGAGGGGCTAGTCAATATTTTTTACAGTGTAGGAGATCACACCATGAAGAAATATTTTTGATGTTAACAGTTGAAAGGGGATTGATCTTCCAGTTTTGACGAAAGACGCTGCTGACTGTCTTTGGAAAAGGATGTCGGCATGAGGTGCAATTGTGCTTGTGAAGTGGTTATAACTGGTCTTTTCACAGTGTTAAATTAAATGTGCCATTGCAGCCAAGTGTGTTATCATGTAAGGTAAAATCAAAACTACAATGTTGGTTTTACGAGCATTGAGAAGGCTGGTAGGTAACACCTGCCTGTGCTCGTAAATCATGCTGCCAAAGTATTCTAAATTAATTTTATCATACACTTTTGTTGTCCAGAATGGTTGCACTATTGTTTGGTATCATATTATTCCATGTACATATGGTAGTGTTAAGTCCGACCAACATGTTACCAGATTTGAAGCTGTTACGTTACCTAAGTACCTACCTGTTTTTT